GCGTCCCGAGGGGGAGGGTGATGGGAGAGATGTGCTCCGCACTAAACGCTTCCCTCTCCCCCCTTTGCCTTTTCATGGGTTCTGTCTCATACGAGGTTCGGACGCGGGTTGTTGAGCGACAGGAGGTTTTAGTCAGTTCGACTCCGACATGCCCCGCCCTCCATCCCCAGGGGAGGGCGGAAGTCCGGCAATTTCCTCCTGATAAAAAAAAAGAAGGTATATATTAATTGAATAATTTAATATATCATTAAAATATACCAGAATAATTTCATATACCTACTTAATTTGTTTTTGGTTTACTATACTAATTAATAGTACAATATAATTAGATAGGTACAATATAAACTTCTAAAAGTTCAATTGTTTTTTATTTATTTATTGTTTCACTTATTCATTTATTTAGTCATCACTGTATAATCTCATGTGCGTTACGAGCAGTAGACAAACCGCCCCCTCACCCCTGCGCCACTTAAGGCACGAGCAACTAGTTCCGCGCGCAATATAGTCTTTTAAGTCTCTTAAAAATAAACAGATGAATTCTCACTATTCTCAGTATCATCGAATTCGTCTTTCCCATAGTCTACTAGATACTCCGGTGCTTTAGTAAGAAGATCGAAGAGCGAAATCGACATAATTATTTCATTACACCACGTAGGGCACCGGTGACCTACATGGTAGTCAACGTGTTAAACAAAATTAGAAATAATGACGACTTTTTGGCGGGAACGCGAGGAGTAAAGTTGTGTGATTTGTTTTATTTTGTCCATTTGGTTAGTGTTTCTTCGGGTTTAGATGTGTAATAACGATGGTTAATTAACTGTTTAATATCTGTGAAAGTGCACAAATCCTCCAAAAAGTCCACTGAAAAAATCTTAGTAAACCATTTACTGAGATTATATTTCATCTCATATCATCTCATTTCATTTAATTTCATCCCAGTTGGTTAATGTCTCAAATTAATCATCTTCATTTCACTCCATATTATCATTTTTCATAAAAATAAGAATATAAATTAAAATAGGACATGACTTAAAGGCCATAGTTACCAGGTCATAAAATCCCTTAAAAAAAAGAAATAATGACACATAAAAATATAAGTACATATGGATTAAGAATTCTGATATATCTCGAAATAGGTGGCTGCATTCTCGTTGTGTAGGTAGTCCATAATCGTTATCTGTCATTACTGCGAATTAACCCGAATTCTCAGCGGGTCGCGATTCCGAACCGGTGGTAGATTCTGCGAAGCACTGCTCTTGCTAGGGCCAGTGTTAGCAACGCCTCCTGGTTTGAGCCCCGGGAGCTCACCTACACGTTAGGGTTACGCTGACATAGCCTCTCAAGGCTATAAGCTCAGGTAGGGAAAAAAACTGCGTATTGCAAAATGTGAACCGGTCTTTTCATTTAAATCGAAAATGGTAATAAATAAATAAATAAATAAATATTTACTAACAATCACGCCACGTTAACTGGTCCCGTGATAAGTTCGTAAAGAACTTTTGTTACAGGTACCATTACATTTATTTTCAATATCTAATGGAAATAAATGTAAGATTTTTATTATGCACATACATATATTTAATATACATCCATAACCCTGGAAAAGACATTTATATTTATCATACAAATATGTTCCCTTGGCGGGATTCGAACCCGCGACCCCCTTGTGTAGTGACCATGTCACTTACCACTACACCAGACGGTCGTTGAATGGTGGTCTGTAATTAGCTTGAAAGCCACAATGTGCTTGAATGCAGTTGAGAAGAGTACGTCGGTTAGTACATTTACCTAAATACACAATAAATCAAACCGTAATGTGTCTTCGATTATTTAATATTTTAGACAAAGGTATGCATAAGCTAACACACATTATTTTTATACAAATTAATTCTGTAATTTTATGCATTACCTACTAATGAAACGGAATGTGGTTTCCCTGTAATTATCGCTTTGACTAAAATATTACTTTCTTGTAAATATTCGCCTATCGTTTTAACGTAACTATTGGGAAAACTATTCTTGAGTATATAGACCGCGGTTATACAAATTACCAATTAACCAAACAAAAAATGCACCGAAAAATATATCAAGAAGGAACAAACTACTGGTGGTAGGACCTCTTGTGAGTTCGCCTATTTCTGCCGTGAAGCAGGCATGCGTTTCGGTTTGAAGGGCGGGGCAGCCGTTGTAACTATACTGAGACCTTAGAACTTATGTCTCAAGGTGGGTGGCGCATTTACGTTGTAGATGTCTATGGGCTCCAGTCACCACTTAACACCAGGTGGGCTGTTAGCTCGTCCACCCATCTAAGCAATAAAAAAATGGACATGCTAAGATACTTTTTTATATGTTACCGGATGTAACCACATAAAACCTCATAGTGAATTGTTGAGAACTATTCCAGGACTATCCACTAAACGCTCCATTGACAATATAACGTTTAAAAGTTAAATTTAGCGACCGAATTTCTGCGGCTCTCTTCTATTGTTCGTGAAGGCTCTCATTCAAAGCGTTAAAATTATATTAAATGCTCGAGTTAATTCTCGTACCGAGTGTTTCATCTATACTTCTATACTATATAATATTATTATATTATCTATACTAATATTATCTATACTAATATTATAAAGAGGAAAGATTTGTTTGTTTGTTTGTTTCGAATAGGCTCCGAAACTACTGGACCGATTTGAAAAATTATTTTTCCATTAGAAGCCGACATTGTCCCTGAAGAACATAGGCTACTTTTAAAAAAAAAAAATATTGTATTTATTTGGTTTCATGTGTGTTTTAATGTTTTCGAAGCGAAGCGAGGGCGGGTCGCTATATTATATATTATATATCTATACTAATATTATAAAGAGGAAAGATTTGTTTGTTTGTTTGTTTCGAATAGGCTCCGAAACTACTGGACCGATTTGAAAAATTCTTTTTCCATTAGAAGCCGACATTGTCCCTGATGAACATAGGCTACTTTTTTTATTTATTTTTTATTTTTATATTTTTGGTTTCATGTGTGTTTTAATGTTTCCGAAGCGAAGCGAGGGCGGGTCGCTAGTATAATTATAAAGAGGAAAGATTTGTTTGTTTGTTTGTATTGAATAGGCTCCGAAACTACTGAACCGATTTGAAAAATTCTTACACTGTTTGGAAGCTACATTATTCCAGAGTGACATAGGCTATAATCATTTTTGAAAAAAATTAGGGATCCTTACTATAACTCCAATAATTTAATCAAAGTTGTAAAAAATACCTAAAATATTGTTTACATCGCGTGCCCTGCGAAAACTATTGATGATAGAATAAAATCATGTACTACGACTTTGTAGAACACATTATTATTTACAAAACATTTCATGACAACATATGCCTAACTATTATAGTTATGCCGCAATAAGTGTTATTTTATTTAAAAAAATAAAACAACGGCAAATATCGTTGAAATTTTTGTTAAAGACCCGACTGGAGCCGGAACATGCCGCTAGTGCTGAATAAAAGCAAACAGAAAAAAACTACTTAAATAGTAATTCTCAGAAGTATCGTATAAGAAATTATATATTAACTTCGTTAATATTGTTCACTGCAATTTATACTATATAGTATCGGCATTAAATGGCACCACTAGAACTGTTGTTCACTAAAAAATCAGCAACTGTGTTCTCTGAATATTAGTCCAGTCCATTATAGGGGATGACCTCGGAAAATTGACATACCCCCATATATTACCACATAAAAACTTGTATTTTGGCATCTTATAACCGTTCTCGAAATTCCCTTTTTTTTTTTTTTTGTTGCTTAGATGTGTGGACGAGCTCACAGCCCACCTGGTGTTAAGTGGTTACTGGAGCCCATAGACATCTACAGCGTAAATGCGCCACACACCTTGAAATATAAGTTCTAAGATCTCAGTATAGTTACAACGGCTGCCCCACCCTTCAAACCGATACGCATTATTGCTTCACGGCAGAAATAGGCAGGGCGGTGGTACCTACCCGTGCGGACTCACAAGAGGTCCTACCACCAGTGTAGATTACCACATATAATTGGATGATCGCAAGTTTTAAAGTAAGGGGTCAAAGGTCAAAGGTCACAAACATTCTTAATTAATAAATTGACACTTAATTAAAAATAGATAATTAACCAAAAAAAAATTAATTTAATCTAAAATTTAATAAAAATGATAATTATATGTTTAACAATAAATTATAACCTTAATATTACGAGTTTTTGATCGAGACTACCAGTTGACCTCAGATAATTCTCTGACCGCGCGCTCTACGCCCTCTATCTCGAAAACAATTCAAGGTATAAAAAAATGTTAAATTAAAAAGTTGTAGAGAATTTAATTCTCTACAATATTGATAATAAATACAAATAGCATAAAACCCATAGAAAAAGATGTTGTGACCTTTGACCCCTGACTTTAAAATTTGCGACCATCCAACTATATGTGAATTTTGAGGACTGTTCTAGGATGTCAAAATACAAGTTTTTTCATGGTAATATACTGGGTATGTCGATTTTCCGAGATATGCACCTAATTTGGCCTAAAATGACTGGACTATATTATACCAGCACAACACGATCACTAACTGCATTTACGTGTTTTTAGCCAACACTGGTAAATACCAAATCATTTCTGTTGCGAGGACACCACATTTTTCCGTTTGAGCACCTTTAAGAATCAATCAGTCTTCTTTTATTGCTTAAATGGGTGGATGAACTCACAGCCCATCTTGTGTTAAGTGGTTACTGAAGCCCATACATATTTACAATGTAAATGCGCCACCCACCTTGAGATATAAGCTGTAAGGTCTCAGTACAGTTACAACGGCTGCCCCGCCCTTCAAACCGAAACGCATTACTGCTTCACGGTAGAAATGGGCAAGGTGGTGGTACCTACCCGAGTGGAATCACAAGAGGTCCTACCACCAGTGTAGTGAATGGAGAAGTGTCTTTGGTGTAAGAATGATTAAGTCACCTAGTCCACTCTCTCATCCCAGGTTTACAGAGCTGTCAGCTGCTACTACATGGTGGAATCCAGGACGGTCTATCCGAACTTCTGGCGCGTAATCAACCTCATCCACATACTGCTGATCCTGGCGCATTGGTTCGGGTGCTTCTATTTCTTGCTGTCCGAAGCCGAGGGATTCCAGGTATGGACTTTTGAATAATCTATCCATATATATATGTCAGCACGCGCCAGGGATGGCTGAGCGGTAGGTTCCGTCATCGCTTGTTTTCGATTGAACTCAGTTTAGTCAATAAAACTTTTCAATAATAATTATTGAAACTCAACACACACAACTTTCACAATGACAGGATAAACAGACAGTTTCGTTGCACATACCGACAGACCGACTGACTGAGACGGACGGAATGACTGTCTGACACGGAANGAGAAAAAGGCAAAAGGAGGTGGCTCAGCTATTGCTGTTCAAGGTTGATAAATTGAACAGCGCTGATTTTCAGTCACCCCCGTTTCCCTTTGGTTCTTTGCGGGAATGAAGACTCCGTACGTGTGTACATACTCAGAATATGATATAAATTAGTAAAATTAGTAAATTATAAAAATTTAAGAAAAAACAAAATAAAAATGATTAAGTCACCTAGTCCACTCTCTCATCCCAGGTTTACAGAGCTGTCAGCTGCTACTACATGGTGGAATCCAGGACGGTCTATCCGAACTTCTGGCGCGTAATCAACCTCATCCACATACTGCTGATCCTGGCGCATTGGTTCGGGTGCTTCTATTTCTTGCTGTCCGAAGCCGAGGGATTCCAGGTATGGACTTTTAAATAATCTTCTATTTTCTATATATATAACAACGAATTGCTGTTCGTTAGTCTCGCTAAAGCTCGAGAACGGCTGGACCGATTTGGCTAATTTTGGTCTTGAATTATTTGTGGAAGTTTAATGTCGTGTTTTTTTTTTCTGTCATTTCATTATTTCCGGCATTTCGATGTTTCGCTTTTTTACAGTTTTCCTGGTCACGGACAAACTGCACGATTAAACTGTAATAGTAATAGTTTTAGATTAGACCCGCGAAAACCGAACAAAATACCGTATAGGGAGGGTTAGTTTTATCATAAAATAATTAAGTCGTCGTGGCCTAAAGGATAAGACGTCCGGTGCATTCGTATCTTGTGATGCACCGGTGTTCGAATCCCGCAGGCGGGGGTTAACCCATTTTTCTGATGAAATACGTACTTAACAAATTTTCACGATTGACTTCCACGGTGAAGGAATAACATCGTGTAATAAAAATCAAACTCGCAAAATTATAATTTGCGTAATTACTTACGTAATGGTTCTTACCAGTATATTCTTACCTTCTTCTTGTGATTCCGCACGGGTAGGTCCACCACCCCGCCTATTTCTGCCGTGAAGCAATTATGTGTTTCGGTTTGAAGGGTGAGGCAGTAGCTGTAACTATACTGAGACATTAGAACTCATATCTCAAGGTGGGAAGCGACACGTTGTAAATGTCTATGGGCTCCGGTAACCACTTAACACCAGGTGGGCTGTGAGCTCGTCCACCCATTTAAGCAATAAAAAAAATGCGGGCAACACAGACAGCTAACAAAACATGAAATCAAAAGAAGACAATATGAAATAGGCCTTTCAAAAGCATTTCGGACTCTGAGGGTTTAACGATCACCGCTATTGCTCCATTTTCATGTTCCCATCCAAAAAAAAAAATTATGATAATTTAAATTGACGTCGTTTGTACGTTACCGCGAAATGTCTTTTGTGTTTTAAAGTGGTTTTTTTTTCATAGTGAAGTCTTGTATAAATAATGGGCTTCGTCCGGTCGTGAACGCTTTGAGCGGATAACAATCATGACTTAAACGGGAAAAAAAGTCAAACAATAAAAGGTACTGGTGGTAGGACCTCTTGTGAGTCCGCAAGGGTAGGTACAACCACCCTGCCCATTTCTGCCGTGAAGCAGTAATTCGTTTCGGTTTGAAAAGTGGGGCAACCGTTGTAACTATACTGAGACCTTAGAACTGATATCTCAAGGTGGGTGGCGCATTTACGTTGTAGATGTCTATGGGCTTCAGTAACCACTTGACACCAGGTGGGCTGTGAGCTCGTCCACCCATATAAGCAATAAAATAAATAAAGAAAAAGGCTCTTTTGTACAAATACCTAACACTTTATAATTTTTAGTGTTTTATATACGATGACTTTTCAATAAATAAAAAACAATTACATTCGCGACAAAATATAAAGAGTGGTATCTGAAGAGGAGTAAAGAATGTATTGCTTACAGATTAATCATTTTATTTCCTCCATCGTTCATTTTTCTTGGGCAAAAATCCTCGTGATTCTTGTAGTTGTTTATTACTGGAGATCGTTCTTCCAGACACAGGCCACATATTTTATATGCCAATATGAATCACACAAGAAAAATAAATAATAGTTTAAAAAAACTAACAAAATACGCTTTTATAGAAAATCCAACTAAAAAATAGAAAATAAATTTGTATTAAAAATTGTTGGTTTTTTTTTTAAACTATTATTTATTTTCCATGTTTGAGTGGAATTTCAATTTTTTCAATATTTTAAATATTCAATTGTCATCGATCCTTAATAAGTATACCAAATTTCGAGTTAATCTGACGTTTTGAAGGGGGTCAAAATCATGTTCAAAGATTTCGTTACAAACATACATACATACGTCTGAAGCTAATAAAAGCGTATTAAAAACCTCCATCACGTCTGTGACTTTAATACAGAGCCACCGATGATGTAAACACTTTTTTAATAATCTCCAAAAGATAAACGGAAGAATGTAACTCCAAACGAACTACTTCAATAAGGTCCAAACCCGCAAGGAATTCACATAAAATTGATAAGACTTCCCCGGAGAGTTCCAAATGCGTTATCCACAACTTCCGCACTATGCGTTCGTTCAAATGATCTGTGACATTGCCATTTTTCATAACCCCATAGTGATGCGAAACATTTCATTGCTGAATTAATTTAGTATATTGCTCAATTTCCACGAGTCGCTGACGTAAATAATAAAACTTTCACAGTTTTCATTATGTATATTATCCCAAAGGATCTGAATTTATTGTTAAAAAAAATTTAATGTTATAAAAGCATCTGATTTCATATTGTTTAATATTATGTTTAAATCTTATTAATGGCTGAAGTAATATTTAGAAATGGATGAATAACATGTTTTTAGTGTGTTTGATCACCAGGGTCCAGAGGAGAAACCGGTGAAACAATCCCTATTCTTTGGACCTTTATCATTGTCATTACTTTTTTAATCGATAATTTTGAATCGATCAACGATGATTTAAATACTGATAAGTATGAATTTGAAAAATTAAAACATTCTAGTGCCGTAAAAGCGGTAAATTGAAAAATTAATTAAAAAATGTCTTTATTTACTTTTTGTTTTAAATAATGGTATCCCCATAAAATTGAAAACGTCGGATAAAAATATCTCTCGAAGCCCACCACTATACATAGGGGTTGGCAACGTTTTGTTCTATGAACGAAATTCGTAGTTTTATGCCAAGCCGATATATCTAACCACGGTCAAGTTTACCGATGAAATTTTCAACTTAAGCCTGTAGACAAAATAACTAAGCCATCAAATATTCAGTGGTGACTAAAGCCCATCGTTCAAGATCGATGCAAATGGAAAAATTTACATACACCCCAGCAGAGGGTAATAAGAAAGAAAAAGAAGAAGAAAGCCCATTGTTCTGGACTACTCTAGGATAGATCGGTGTTAAAGCTTATTAAATGAAAGAGTGGGCTGTAACACGATAGGTATAAATATTGTTTAATTTATAAAAATGAGTAAGAAACAACTGTCGCGGGTGGCCTTACGTTACGTTAAGTGTCCAAGCGAGCAAGCGAGTGAAGAACCGAGGCCCCTCGCTGCTGTCCTTCTCCCGGCCTCAATGGCCGTGCCACTCGACTTCAATGTCCGTGTGTCGACACCCGTAGAGACAGCATAATGCTAATGCCCACCCTGAGTCAGAAAGTTTTGACGCAGAGGCATAAGTAGACGGTATGTACCCGCGCGGACTCAAATGTACCCTCATCATGGGTACTGCAGATAGCAACTACTTGTATAGTTTCTCTTCATGAATAAACAGAGAGACCATAATTAAGCACTCCTATACTAAAATTTTTTATGTAGTTTAAAACTGTGAACAGATTCATTCAACATTCAATGAAGATCTCAATGCTGCTTGCTAACAGAGCACTATAGTGTATAGTTCTTCAAAAGAGCTTATAAAAAAGGTTTGAGTGATACGCACGTTTTATGTCCGAACAGCATCCGATCATTGTGCCTCAATTTTGGAAGGTAAAAAGGAAACTTAGATATCTATATATTAATGCGTGAAGCAAAAACTTTGTATCCCTTTTTACGAAAATTGCGCGGACGGAGGAGTATGACATTTTCCACACTTATAGAGAATATAGAGAAGAAATGCACAATGCTAATATTTTTTTAAAATAATGCATAAAAGATTCATTAAATCAATAGAGAAAACATTACACACACTACATACCATGTATTTGACGCACACACGCATGCATACTATTTATTGTCAAACTTTTGTTCTTGACGTCTGTGGTCAAATTGAGAATAGATTAAATATTGTTTGTCTTTATTAATATTTTTTTATAGTGTAACCTTGGCGAAATTTGTGATCATAGAAAAATAAAATACAATCATAATAGTGTACGAACTCATTATACAATTCCAATTAATTATAGTCGAATTTCGACTACTGCGGGACCTCTAGTTAATTTAAATATGTTCTTTCAGGGTGATTGGGTGTATCCTTATCGTCCGGGAGATTATGCAACTCTAACGAGAAAGTACCTCGGCTCTTTGTACTGGTCCACGCTAACCCTGACCACCATAGGGGACCTGCCGACTCCGGAGACCAACGCCGAGTAAGTACCTACTCTCTTTGACAGGTTTTATGTAAATCTTTCCAAAAAAATCGACATAAAGGAAGAGAGTTTTATGCATATGCGTAAATGCTATGTGTGTGTGTGTGTATGTGTTTATAATATACATATTTAAATAAATCCATTCGGATAATTTAAATTTTACCCACATATAAATATGTATCGCGTTTATTCTGAATCCAAAATTGGAAGTAAGCTAAAACAATTAATGTTATTTTTTGAAAATTCTGCTCATCTCTGTGCACGATAAATATCTGTAGGCTCATGCAAAGAATCGATTTCACCAATTATTCATGAGGAATCAACGATCTAGACTAGATAAACGATTAGAATATCATTTTAACTGTGTTTCATGAATGTTTTTTTTGTTATGTTACTATTTATTTTCTTAGCATTCATGAATGTTGCGACCTAAAAAACAATTTTCCTAATAGAGAAGTGCTTAGAAATATCTGCAAAAAAAACTGGTGGTAGTAAAAATACTCCCGTTACTCTACAGATTGATAACATTCATATTCTAGAAGAGCTATCGTATCTTATATTTTATTTAATTAAATCTTTTAAAATTTTTAGTCTCCAGAAATAATTACGTAATAACAAAGGTGACTCTTCAATGCACAAGATCTTTTTTTTTTAAATCATACTATTCAGGGATAGATACTGCCACAGTGCTTAAGTTTTTATAAATATAGAATTTCGAGTCTAAATTTATTAGTCTTTAGTAACTCAAATGTCACAGATTAAAATGTTGGCTCACGATACCTACTTATACAGTTATTATGTACGGAAAATGTTCTTACGTTATTTATTATTGCTTAATATAATTTTTATATTAATTTTAATAGAATTTTCATAACATAGTTTAAAAAATCGAAATCTCAATGACGTTGTTGCAACATCTTTTAAGCCACTTGCGGTACATATAGGCAGGAGAAAATAATATTCCTACTCGATTTCTAAGTTCCTACCAAAGTGTTTTAAGCTTTTAAACCGTATTGAGGCTTATTATTATGCAGACTATCATGTAATATAAAGAAGAAAAAAAACGTAAATAAATAAATAAAAATTAGGCCCTAAATAAGGATTACCCGTGTCACGGGTACCAGCGACTGACAAACATACTTATATACGTTTAAATATATCCATATATAGATAATAAAAACCCAGGCAAAGAGAAAACAAACCTACTCATCACACGAATGTTGGCCCGATGTGGGAATCGAACCCACGACCCTCGACGCAAGAGACAGGAGCGTTAACTACCGCACCATCGAATTCCCATAAGACGGTAGTTTTCAAAATATCGGAATATCGACGATTAATATTTCAATCGCCCGTGACCACGAAAGCAGTAATGTCATCAAAACGTTCCAAATAAAAAAAACTGTGAACAATAAAGTAGAGATCAAACCGTAAAAATAGTTTTGTTATTTTTTTTATTTCTTAGACGGGTGGACGAGCCTGAAAAGTCATCGTATATAAAACACTAAAAATTATAAAGTGTTAGGTATTTGTACAAAAGAGCCTTTTTATTTATTTATTTATTTATTTTATTGCTTATATGGGTGGACGAGCTCACAGCCCACCTGGTGTTAAGTGGTTACTGGAGCCCATAGACATCCACAACGTAAATGCCGCCGCCCATCTTGAGATATAAGTTCTAATGTCTCACTATAATTACAACAGCTGCCCCATCCTTCAAACCGAAGCGCATTACTGCTTCACGGCAAAAATAGGCAGGGTGGTGGTACCTACCCGTGTGGACTCACAAGAGGTCCTACCACCAGTGCATTTGTGTATAAGACTCGTAAAAATATTATACCAACAGCACTTAAAATACGAGTCGCAGAGAGAAATGCTGCTAGCGTCTAATACAAGCAATTGAGGAAGCGGGGTCCCTGGTTACTGGGGTTACTGGTGGTAGGACCTCTTGTGAGGTCCACCGCCCCGCCTATTTCTGCCGTGAAGCAGCAATGCGTTTCGGTTTGAAGGGTGGGGTAGCCGTTGTAACTACATATAGGTACTGAGACCTTAGAACCTATATCTCAAGGTGGGTGGCGCATTGACGTTGTAGATATCTATGGGCTCCAGTAACCACTTAACACCAGGTGGGCTGTGAGCCCGTCTACTCATCTACGCAAGAAAAAAAATATACTAACATTACATGATTCTTCTTAGTCGCTTGCACTCTTGGCAGAGTAGTCGTGGTCAACAGTTCGGATGGTGGCGCGTTTACAAGACGCCGCCTTTCTTCGCGCCCTTCTTGTGCACTCACTGACGAGATGCCAGATGGTCTGATTTCTTAGAAGGACTCGCGCCCTCCCAAAGGTCTTACTACCGCTTAGCTCGTACTCTCAAATCGGATACGGTAGTAACTATGCCCCCCCTCGTAGGCCCCTCAGGCCGACTCGCGGCCTTTGATGATGACGAAAAAGCAGAGCTGCTGGCCGATACATTGCAAACCCAGTGCACGCCCAGCACTCAATCNAAAATCCATTTTATTCTCTACCCTTAATTACGGGCCAGACGGTACCCAAATGGATAAAATAATGTTAGTACCTCTGTAGAATATCACTAAATCTTCCGCGACCCCCTCCGCAAACGATCACTTAACCAAAATTATTGCCTGACGTAATTAAACTAAGAAAAGTGTTCTCGTTAAGCCGGTCCCCCTAATCACTGAAGCCAGATAATTAAAACTCACGTCTTACGCCCGTTTCCGGCTTAAAAATGGAAAATAATAAATTTGTGTGAAGAGTACTTAACGGCAGATAGCTTGGCTCTGTATCCACTCGCCATCAATTTGGCTGTATGCACGTCTGCCTACAAGGGCAATGAAAAATTCAATTACTGCTAAATCAGTACTGTTTGATTTTTTATGTTTCGTAAAAATGGCCTACCTATATATGTACGACGTACGTATATACTATCATTATATAAGTAAACATAAGTAGTTAGTTTATAAACAGCAAAAAAAACGCTTTTATAAGAAATTGAATTAAAAATGTAATATTATTTATGCTCTGGCCATGGGAATCTGAGGCCAAAGCCGAAAAAAAAAATTTTTTTTTTGTCAATTGTTCATGAAACGTGTGGAAATTATCAAGTCAATCTGACGACTTGAAACATTCCTCGTACAATTAACATTAACAGTGTAGATCTTTTAACGGATTAATTTCTCATAGTGTTTTCAAACTTGTCTATTTTCAGCCGCATACGTGGTATCCTGTAATTCAGTTTGGAAAAGGTCGTACTCTATAGACAGAGATGTATCAATATACACTAAATAGACCAATATTTTCTAGACTATTTTTGTCCGGTTTGAAATAAAGTTGTTGTTGCCAACAAAACTGGGACTTCGACATCAACGCAGCAATAAACTTTCCATGCTTAAAAACAACGCAAAAACAACAGATTCATTTTGACCGGGTAGAATCCGGGTAGAATCCTGGTTTGGAACTATTATTGCGTCTTCTTCTAACCATAACAACACATTCTATGTACAAAACGTATCGTGAATACAAACGCTATTTTTAAACTTACAAGCTGAGCTTTCGGGAGTAATGGAAAGCACGTGTTCCCCGGGGAATACAACGGAGGAAAGCTTTTTGGAATGCGCGTGACGATTCCGGACGAGTACGCCTATACGTGTAACTTTCAATAAAGCCATTAAAGCTTTTGTCTGCTACGTAAAATTACCTATATGGAATGGGTTATCAACTGTATCTCATGTTAATTAAATTAATGCGGATATTTTAATCGTACAATCTCTGATAAGCGATATGGGAATAGGAAAAACAATGAAATATAAATTTAAGTATCTAGTTTAAAAATTGATAAAACTTGCTAAAATAGCAAATCAAACTAGCAATGAATTTAATATTATTTGTTATATTGATACCGGTCAGGATGCTACAACAAAGTTATGATTTTTTTTGTCTTCGCAACTTTTTGCCTCTGCATATTTTCAATTTTATCGGAAATTCTGAAGTCAGAGAAAATTGTATTTAATAAACTTTCTTTTTTTTTTAATCTGTTTACACATCGATAAAGATTCTGTGTATATCGAACTGTCATGTCGTACACATTGACAGGCGGGAAACGATTTCACGAAACGTCAAACACGATATCCCTTTGCTCTAACAGCCCGAGAAAAAATGTTACTCTTCATATTCATACATTTTCGATTCATTTATTTCCAGTGACTGGTGTACGTATGTAACATTAGAGAAAAGAAATTAGATTTACAGTCTAACAGTATTTAAGTACACTTCAAACCGTAATTAAGGCAATTAAATTTATGAATCAATGAAAACGTTGAGTAAAAACTATAAAAAAAACGTTTTTGTAAGCGAACTAAACGAAAACTTGGAAATAATCGAATATTGTTTGTTCGTTTCACTTGGGTAGATAACAATATAGTTACACTGCTTCGAAAAATTCCTGTAATTATTACAATGATCACGATGTATATGTAAATGTGAATTTTTATATGTAAATTTGCCAACGGCGGAACATAGTATGAAGCGGAAAACTCAGGTACCAATACGCTACCTTTTTCAGTCACGTAGCAGCTATTTGATCCAATTTGAAGAGCGGCACAGCTGGTATAGTTATTAAAAAAAAATAGTATTCTCTGTGGTTATGTGTAAATGTATACGATGTCAAAAAAAATTGAAAAAGCACTGTGGCAGAATCCCTTCTAAAGTATCAAACTTTTTCCGTTAGAAATTAATCACATTTTAATTGGATTAACTCATAAAACTTTCTTCCTTAGATATTTAAACCAACCTTTCTTTCGTGAATAATGAAAAAACACGAAATGAAATTTCGCTCATAAATTCACAAGCTCCACTTTATTCAAATGATTCGATTTAGGCTTAAGAGAAAAGTCAAAATAAGGCAAAGGAGTTTTTTTCTCAATAATAATAATTTAAGAGCCTGTATGTGTTCCAAAATTCATATGTTTTTTTTTTCTCGAATGACAAAGAAAAACATTGCTTACATTTTTTTTTTTGGATCCAGCGTTTGTTTTTCATATACATAGATATATGCTGAGTACTAATTCATTAAGAACAAAACTAACTAGCTTATGTGTAATGATAGCACGCAAGGAGGCCCCAAATTTCTGCCGCGCCGCGGACTGAAGTCCCGTTTACTGCAGTTCAGGTCCAACAGAGGGTACGTTCTCTATGTGTTTGGTCAGATCATCTACGTACACCGCAAACATTTGACGAGCCATCAGTTCCTCAACCATTCAATGAAACATTGGACGAACCGTTGGTTCTTCAAACATTGGACGAACCATTGGTTCTTGTATCGATATTTTTTTAACTATGCTCTGTATTATCAACAGGATATTAAAGTCAGTAGATACATTTCTCTGTTCTACCCAAAAAAAAAAAACGTGTTTTTATGGGCTTCCTAAGCGGTGCCCTGGGAAGCCGTAAATCAGGAAAGGGCAAAATCAGCCTTTGTTTGACCAGGGCGTGTTATTTACGGCTTCATTTCCCAGGCTTCGATCTGACGATTTATAAGTTAGCTTAGGTCAGAAGTTTCTTATGGTAGTAAAGTCTATTATTATCGGGGCTTTTTCCTACTTAATCGTTCGTAGCCTAAGGCGTTATTCCAAATACGCTCCGATAGGTAACTGAACTCACAGAGCTCTCAACCTTAGAGAATTTGCTAATATTAGCCTTAGTAGTGCTTACTTCGCTGAATCTACCACCAGATCGGAAACGCGACCCACTGAGAAGAGTCGGCGAGAAACTCAGTGGGCTGTGTCTATGGATTAAGTTGCACGTCGAATGAGAACGGCGGCCGGTGCTTGGAATGCTTAAAAGCCTAGCCGAGAGTGAATTGGGAGTAACCGAAATGACGCGATTACGACAACAGCGAATGTGTCATTCGGTCGTCTGTATATACCGTATGTAATATGCCGCGGCCACGATAAAAGGATTATCGTGTCACGCCGCTTTTTCGAAGAAGCCTTCCGACGCTGTCTTCAGACACGGGTATATCTCCTAATATGTCGTAGTCACCTAAAGAGTAAGACGCGACTTTACCGGTGTTCGAATCCCGCGGTACGGTACAATTTTTCCAATAAAATACGCATGTAACATATTATGTACATATGGATGAACTCCACGATGCAGAAACAGTGTCCTGTTATAAAAAGCATACAGGTAAAAGATGAGTAGGGCGAAATATAGACCAAATACTACCATAATACCTAGTTCTACCACGGAGCAATTATACTGTCCGGCTTGAAGGGGAAAGTTTTAATACAATACCATTGAGACTTTGACGTAATGTAACAAGATGTCCCTGGGTTTCGGTAACCAAATAACACCGAGTTGATCGTGAGCTCATTCAGCAATCTATGGCATCAAACTAAACATTCAATTGCTCATTAATGCTCAAGATTATCTGTACAACACACCAAAAAGCATAAGCTTGAATTTGCAGATTCACAATAACACAAATGGCTTTTTGAATACAAAATAAATAATATTGTTTTCTCGTTAGGTTAATTCAACCAATTATTTCCGTTTCTATTTTAGTTTACTTTCCCTTACAACAACCTCTGAACCTTGATTGTTATTTAAGGAATTTTCCTCACAAAAATGTAATTTCGTATCGATATAAGTTTGTTTGCGTTTCGCTTGACTGCATCACGTTATTAAAGTTACAAGGAAAAGTTAAGGTGCCTTGGGACTACACAGGGAAAATAACTCTATTTACTTTTGTACATTATATACGTAGCCTCGTTTTGATGACATAGATACATGCGTGAAAGAATAAGACATATTAGAACGAATCTGTACATTATGGCAATGTTCAATAATACCGTATAATGGGGTAAATAGGGACAAAATCGACCTTCAGATTGAATTTTAAAATAGTTCCAATTAAATAGTCACTGCTCAACCAAAGAAATAAGTTGAGTCTTGAACGTACCTAGGTGATAAAAACCGATACATTATTTTAATTATTCATTTTAAAGAAATAATCGGTAAAATAATGGCCGTCCCAATTTACCCAGCGTCCGGGGTAAATTGACACGGTTAAGGGTTAAATTGGGATATTTGTAAGGGTTGTCAACTCGCAGTACTGCGATATATAGGTAGGTGCCATATAATTATTTATATGGACCGAAATGATGAATACAATCCATAATTTAAGCANGATGACCACCGCGTGCGACCGCTGTCAACAAGAGAATGGAATGCCCGCCATTATAAACACAACTTCATTCGGTGTTACCTTACTCTTAATTAAAACTACGATTTAGTTGAATACAGAACGATTAATTGTTACCACAATAACAGCATAATTTACCAACGATAACATAAAAATAACAAAATAAATTATAAGTCAATAAATCAAAATTTAATATTTTTCTTTTTCTAGAAATATCACGTGCCATTATACATCTCTATTATTTAGATTTGACTAAATTTATATGAAGGCTGATGTAATCAACGTTTTTGGAGTACCAGTAAAGTTTTTATCAAAGGTGTGCCTCAGATTTTATTATACAAATCAGACGGGGTCCTAATTATGCAAATTCGGGAGATGGATTGTAATGGACTCCACTGAATTTGAAATTTGGTGCCCCCTTAAATGAAAGCCTTCATGGTAAACACACAGACTGATGATATAAATTCGAATATACGATGTCAGAAACAAAAATGTATCTAGGATAATACAAAATTTAAAAAAACTGACCATCCGAAATACGAAGTAAATTAAGAATATCGTCTATGTAGTTGAAGTCAATTAAATTCTAGTCCAATTGACAGCTTTCTCCTTTTTTGTAGTCGTTTAAAAATAAAAAGCAATCATCAACCATCTACAGCGTCTCCCCACAAATTTCTCAGCATCCCATCCCTCTTTTCGTAATGATGGATCGGGGCTCGAATAGGGCGCTTTTACGTCTTTCTACAAGATTTATACTCCTTAAGTCTCCCGGATAACGATTAATGGACATCCAGAACATTCTTTCAAAATTACTTTTTACGTGGGATTCATAAAAAGCCTATTTAGACCTCATTTAGCCGTATCTTCTCTGTGGGTCGCCATTATGATCCTGTGGAAGATTCAGCAAAGCACTGCTCTTGCTAGGGCAGGTATTCAAATTCCTTCACGGTGAATAACCCCGTAAGCTCGTCCAACAACGAAGTCAAAGCCAAAGTCAGAACAGCCCATCGAGGCTACTGGGAAATAGGTAGGCCAAAAGAAAAATTTGTGATATCAATGACTACTTATACTAAATATACTATACAAGCACAGTATTGTATTAATTGACTTTAGATGTCTTAAGCATATTCTTGTTTGTAATGGTAGCGCTATTTCATTTCCGTAATTATAATTTTAAATTGAAACCAAACCTACTACTAAATAACACTAGCGTCAAATCGAAGTGACCTTGTTTAAAAAGCGCGACATTAGTATTTGTCGAATTTTACTAATTTATTGGTAAATAAATTTATTTCGGAAATGCAGTATTTATGAAAAACTGTGAACTGTCATTTTGAAACTACGATAAATATCTAATTTGCTCTTTAACATAATTCGTGACCGGAATATATTTAATTTTAAAATAATTAATTATTCAGCTCTCTCGTCAATCGATCATCATCGAAGACAAAATTCCACCAACATGATTTTGGGAAAACAGTATCGAAATCGGTGATGAAACGCATTTCAAATTTATTTTTATCGATGGGTATATAAGGAAGGTCATTGTTCAAGATCTTCATAGCGTGAAACGAAACGCATAAACTCATTTTTTATAATTTATCTGTGCATTTTTCATATTATCTGTCCTTTTTTCACTCACTTACGACTTTGGCGCCTTTTTTATAAATTTTCAATTATTTTAGCTAATTATTAATGTCGAAGTAAAAATATATATCACTTCAAGAAACCGACTTATTATTTGTCCCGAGCGTGAGTCATACATAGGTCAAAGTCAGTGGGAGTATCTCGGTATCTCTTTCGCGCACCCCTTTTTAATTTCAATTACGTCATTGACTATCACGAGCATTTCTTTTTGGTATTCTACAACCTTTCAAGGCTTTCCTAGCTTATCAGTTGTTGACCGGAAAAACAGAAATTTTCGAAAAAAAAAAATTTTTTGGTGGTAGAGTCGAAAGCTAAGTGTGAAGTCGTATCGTAATCCATAGAACCTTAAGCTATGAAGCTTATATTATGTTATTATTCGCATTCCGTTATGTCAGGAATCGCCAAATGGTGGTCCGCGGTCCGTATCTGCCAACCCATTTAGTGCGGACCGCGAAAACACAGCAACTTGTACTACATAACACGGAAGTTTTCAGTAAAAAGTTCTGAATAAAGTTTATGTATTGTGTATAAATTATGCATAACTACAAAAATAAGCTTTGTAACTTCTTACTTTGTGTTTGGGTAAACATATATATTAATTGCGAAGCAGAATTTTCGAAGATGATCTTTATTAACATTAAATTTCGTTCTCGACTTACTGATGTACCTATATATTTCCAAGGTGTAATATCAATAGCTTGCATCTCTTTAGGTAGGCTAGTCGGTAGACAGCGGCTTGGCTCTGCCCCTGGCACTGCTGGAGTCCATGGGCGACGGTAACCACTCCCTATCAGGTGGGCCGTATGCTCGTCTGCCTATAAGGGCAATAATTTTTTTTTTAATCCAAACTTCAGTCCGCAATAAAAAGTGTCATTTTTCTTATTGATGTGTAAAAAAAAGTCATTGGTGACCCCTGCGTTATGTGTTGCTTAAGAACACATTTCAATTATCTTTATTCGCGTATTTCTAAAACGGTAATAATATTACCATGTCCCGAGAGCGGTAATAGGGAAGAAACAAAGTTTATTATTAATAGTATTTTCGGTAAGAACGAACGATCACAAAGTTATTTGTTTCACCGTTATAATATTGTAGTTGAGTTTCTTTACGGAAAATATTATCAAGTTGTTTGCTTCGGTCGTACGCAATTTTTGTAGGTTCTTTCAAGTTCGAGTTTTATAGTGAAACTTAGAATAACCCGTCTGAGAATAGATGTAAGCAATTCAAAATGTTTCACAAGCCTTATTCTTGTAATTTTCTAGTCTTCCGTGATGAAAAGCGTAATTGTATTTTAGCGGTAAAACCTGAAATTTGTTTTCACATCACAATCG